AGAGGCTTGAGCCTGTAATCCTAGCTATTCAGGAGGCTGAGATCTGAGGATAGAGGTTCAAAGCCAGGAAACTCCGTAAGACTCTCATCTCCAATAAACCACTCAGAAAACCAGAAGTGGCACTGTGCTCAAGTCGTAGAGCGCTAGCCTTGAGCTGAAGAAGGACAGTGCCCAGGCCCAGAGTTCAAGCCCCACGACCAACAGGAAAAATAAAAAAAGATGAACAAAGCTAGGTATGGGTGGGGACTGTGACAAGAAAACAAAACAAAACAAAACCCACAAATAAACAGAAAACAGATTAACAAGAGATAAACTGACTCTCAATGGAGAGTCAGGCTGAGTGCTGGTGGCTCAAGCCTGTAATCCTAGCTACACAGGAAGCTGAGATCTGAGGATCATGGTTCAAAGCCAGCCCAGGCAGCAAAGCCTATGAGATTTTTTTTTTTTTTTTTTTTGGTTGGTCATGGGGCTTGAACTCTGGGCTTGGGCGCTGTCCCTGCGCTCTTCAGCTTAAGGCAAGTGCTCTCCCGCTTGAGCACAGCACCACTTCTAGTTTTCTAGTGGTTTATTGGAGATAAAAGTCTCACGGACTTTCCTGCCCAGGCTGGCTTTGAACCACATCATCAAATCTCAGCCTCCTGAGTAGCTAGGATTACAGATGTGAGCCACTGGCACCTGGCTCCATGAGACTCTTATCTCCAATAAACCACCAGAAAACCAGAAGTGGTGTTGTGGCTCAAAGAATAGAGCGCTAGCCTTGAGCTAAAGAGCTGAGGGACAGCGCCCAGGTGCAGAGTTTAAACCCCAGGACCAACAACAACAAACATAGAGAGTCAGAACTGGAGCCTAGGAACTTGGGGATGCTAGGGTGGAAGGGTGTATGTGACAGCTAGGTGAGGGAGCAACTGTATGTGAACAGAGTTTTGTAAATTAGAAGTCTCTCAGAAGTGAAGGCATGGTGGTACACCTCTGTAATCCCAGTCCTCCTGGGAGTCTGAGGCAGGAAGAGCCGGAGCTACATAGTAAGGTCTCTTTCTTAAAAAATTAGAAGGCTAGGGCTGGGTAGGTGGCTCAATGGTAGAGTGCTTGCCTTGCATTCATGAGGCCCTGGGTTCGATTCCTCAGCACCACATAAGCAGAAAAAGCCAGAAGTGGCTCTGTGGCTCAAGTGGTAGAGCGCTAGCCTTGAGCTGAAGAGCTGAGGGACAGCGCCCAGGCCCAGAGTTCAGGCCCCACGACCAGACCCCCCCCCAAAAAAAAAAAAAAAAAAAGAAAGTTTCCCTTTTACCCCCATTCTCTACCTGCCCCAGGTCACAGGAATCAGCCTAGTCAAGTAGTGTCAGATTTAGGGTGTTTTCTCTGAACTCCTTCAAGGCATTGAGAGAATCTGGATGTGAGCATTCCCTGTCTGTTCACAGCCTGCTATCCCTGGAGGTGACAGACAGGTGACCTAGAAAGGAAGTTGCCCTGTGACAATGACCTGGGGCAGTACAGTGATTCACTTTGCCTTAAGAGTAGAAGGAGGGGCCTTGGGGACAGTGAGTGGCTCCTAATGGGTTATTCTCCCAATGGGCCACTTATAGAGGAAGCCCAGAGACCAGCCCCAGATCCCAGGGGCACTGGGACAGTAGCAAGGATGATCTTGAAGGAGTCACAGGACCAGTCTTGAATCACAGCAGAAGCGGGGACAGAATGGGGACAAAGGACAGAATGTGTGGGCTAGAAAGCTCCCTCAGGGCAGAGTGTGGATGGACAAGCTGGGTGGAAAGGAGCCCACGGAGGTTGCTGCAATGCCCAAGAAACAAGGTAACAAGGCTAGAGATGGTCCTCAGAGACATGGGGCAGTTCCTACTCACCATGGTGGCCTGAACATAGCACTGCTCCAGCCGCTTCTGGGCAGTAGGGATGTAGGAACTGCCCAGACCAGGAAGATGGACCTGTGACAAGGGCGCCAGCACACAGCCTCTTTCAAGGCGGTGGTGGCTTCCAAGGCACCACTTGGAATTGGAATATAAGGTCAGGGGCTTGAGATCCAGGCAGGGGTGAATAAAGTTCAAGGACTGCACTCTCACCCCAGAGGCCAACTCAGAGCTCAGAGCTTGTTTCTGCCCCTGCTAGAGAGGGCTTGGTGCGGAGGAAAGAGTCCTGATTCCCAGCTGGCTTCTGGCTCTCCAACTTGCCCAGCCCAATTTTTAGTGGTTGTTTTAAGACAAAGTCTCCTCACCCAGCTCTGGCTGACCTTGAACTCCAGACACAACATATGCCAACAGGCCTAGATCTCCAAGACTTACCTCCCCCACTCCACCCCCCACCCACCCCCACCCACCGCCCCTACTCCAGCTTACCTTTCCCTCAAGATCTCAGAAAGGCGCCTCAGTTGCCTTTTGCCAAGAATAAGCTCTTGGGGGTGGGGTGGGGACGGAGCATGTCCCCTCCTGGGACCTCCGTTTTTCCATTAGAAGAGTCTGAACTGAAGAAACCCAGGGTTCAATGGCTGTCTTCTGATTTAGGCTCGAGAAGATGAAGAGCAACGCATGAGGGTTAAATCAGGGAGAAGGGTTAGGGGAGACACTTTCTGGATTCAGGTTGAAGCTAGCCCCTCTGCCTTGCCATTCTCCATCCATGTGATCACGGTGACAACATGAAAGGATTTAGGAATGATCTGCCAGGCCAGTTCTCCAGCCTGTGGAAGGAAGGGTGCGCTTAAGCACCTAGGCTCTCAGAACCTACAGCCTGTGCCTGTGCGAACAGGAAGCCTGGTCCAGGTCCCAGCGGTCTGATCATGTTTCCTTGAATGACATCTGCTAGAAGAGAAGAGTCAGGCTATTATTCTCTTCTGCCCTAGTCCCTCAGCTCTGCAGCCCCAGACTGTTATCTCTTCACTGGGTCTCTTCTGCCTTGTTTTGTCTTCACTGTCTCTGAGTTCCAGGAATTCTAAGTTTTCCCCCCTCTTGCTGGGGTATTCTGTGCTATTGAACCCCCTTCCTCTACCTTCCCACTGCACTGGTAGGACACTGGATGGGGAAGCAGGGGAGAATTTGGAAAATTCACTGCATTTATAATCATAGAAGGAGTGGAGGAGGGGAGGGAGGCATGTTACTGCCTCCTGAACCTGGCTTGTCATCAGAACTTAGCTTTCACAAGTCTCTCCTCTTACCTCCATTGTCCTCAAAGAACTGGTGTGTGTGTGTGTGTGTGTGTGTGTGTGTGTGTGTGTGTGTGTGTGTGTGTGTGTGTGTGTGTGTGTGTGTGGTGTGTAGGTACTAGGACCAGGGCTTGAACTTAGGATAGCATTTCTGCTCAAGGCTGGTGGTGCTCTACCATTTGAGCCACACCGCTACTTCCAGATTTTTGGTGGTTAATTGGAAATAAGAGTCTCAAGGACTTTTCTGCCAGGGCTGGATTTTAACTCCTATCTTCAGATTTCAGACTCCTGAGTAGCTAGAATTACTGGTCTGAGCTACCAGCACCTTGCTTGTTATTGTCTGTAAGTGAAGTATTATTTGTGCCATTTTATTTGAGGATACTGGAAATTGAATCTAGGTGTCCTAAGCACATGCTATAATACTGGATTACATCCAGAGGGGAAAAGGGTTTACTTGCATAAGCCACATTAAAGGTGTGCAATGCAGTGGCACTTCATATACAAAATTGTGCAAGCACAGAAACATTCCAAGATGAAGCGTCTCCCTGCCCCCCAAATACAGTAAACAATCACTGCTCATTTCTCCCTCCCTGTGGACTTCTCTGCTCTTTGGAGGAGTCATACCACACACCAGATCTTCTTCTGGCATGTATGTGTCTTTCACTTGTGACTTCCTTCTTGGAGCATGTGTCTGATTTCATTTCTGGAAGCCTCTCTCCACTTTTCCCTAGTAGTGAGATTTGAAATCAGAACATCCTGCTTGAGTGACCTGGGTCACAGTGCAGTGATTCATCCCTTCAAACCCTAGCCCTCCATTCCTTTCTATGGCTGAATAATATTCCATTGTATGGATAGACCACAGTTCATTTCTGCATTCATCAGTTGTTCCGACAATTCAAGAATGTTTCCTGGGTTTAATCTCCTGTACCAGGAGGAAAAACAAAACAAAACAGAAAAACCGCACACACACACTCACAACCCCCCCCCCCCCCAGCAGTTTCCCGTTTTAGGTGCTGTGCACAGTACTGCTCTGATGATCTAATGTACTTGTCTGAATGAATATCTGATTTCAGTTCTTCTGAGTGAACACCTGGGAGTGGAATTGCTGGATCACCTGGCAAGGCCACATTTAGCTTTTTTTTGGAGGAAAGGGTGTTTTAACTTCCTGGATTTGAATGCCTTTGACTGTCTAGTTCTGACTCAGTTTCCTTCTCTTCCCAAGGTCTGTCTTACACTGCGCCTGTTTAGCTCATTTGCATTATTTGTCTGCTCCTCCTACCCCTTGCTCTGGAATTTAGCTGTCCCTAGAAGCTTCCGGAAAAAAAAAAAAAAGAAGAAAAGAAATTTAAAAACCCAAACTCTCAATGCCGAATTCAGGTGCAATTTCTCTTTAGGGTTCAGGGTACTTGTTTGGCTCAGCCTTGGAAGGGGAAAAAGGGGGTTTACCTGAAAGGAAGCGTCAAGGATCAGAGGGGTGGAGAAGAGCGAGGCCAGGAACGGGCAGGCGGTGCGCCCTGTGTGTGGGGGGGGGTTCTCCGCGGGGCTGGGGGCTGCGGCCGTACCCTGGGTCCCCGCAGATGCGCACCGGGGTGACCGCCGCGCCCCGGGCGCAGCGGGCTGCGGGGCGCGCGCTCGGGAGGCTGCAGCTCGGCTGCAGGCGGAGCCTCGGGGCGGGGTCCGGATGGATCGCGGGGTGGGCGGGGGTTGCCCCCCGTCCCCGCCCCCCACATCCGGGGGCCGGGCCAGGCCGGGCTTTGGGCTCCTGGCGCCCGGGGTGAGTCAGGCCGGGTTTTCCCTCCTCCTCTAGGACCCGTGCCGCCGAGCGCGTCCCTTCCTCGCCAATCCGGCTCCGGCGCTCGCCCGCCCGCCCGCGGTTTCCCGTGCCCGGGCCACCGCGATCTCGCAGTCCCGGCCCGAGCGGGCACCGTGGAGGAGGGTTCGAATCTGCTCCAGGGAACCGGAGCGCGCGAGGGGCGCGGACGGGGCGCAGAGCCGGCGAGCGCGGCGCCAGCATGGTGAGTGCGGCGCGCCACGGGGCCGCGGGGGGCCGGACCCGAGCTCCCGTGCTCGGGGGCGCCCTGGGCCGGGCTGCAGCCCCCATGCCAGCCAGCCGAGGATCAGGGCTGAGAGGTGGTGGGGGGGGAGTGGCAGGATGCGCCCAGGTGACCCCCCCCCCTCACCCCCAGCCCCCATATCCCGTTCCCGGGCACCGAGGCTCTGCCAGAGAGTGGGGACCGGTCATCTCTCCTTGGGCTTTCCTTGGAGCATCGCCCCGGTACGCACCCTCAGAGCCTCGGCCGGGCGGGACTGGGTGCCCTTGGCTTTGGTCTCAGGGAGGGGAGGAGGACAGATGTGTCCTCCCCACCCCACCCCGCCCCCCTGGAGCTCCTGGATTTCCTCCCCCTACCCCCCTCAGTCGTTCTGGGGGATCCCAGCCACCTCTGTGTGCAGTTCTGTGGGGATGCTGACCTTCCCGGTGAGATCCCTCGCCTGTCCCCGCACCTCAGGATAACCTCTGTCTTTAATTTGGTTTTGAATGTTTTGCCCCAGCCCTTCTGCTCCCTTGCAGCTGTGGACCTGCGGATTGGGGTGTGTGTGGGGGGGGACATTCTTAGATCTTGGCGGCAGGCATGTTTTACCAGCAGCTCTGGTCGTAACCTTTGGTCAGTCTAGGACCAGGGTGGGAGTCAGGCTCTTGATTGTATCCAGAAGGACGATGGGGACAACCCCTTCCTCCTAGGAACAACTCGGGCCTGTCTGTCTGTCTGTCTGTCTGTCCTGGGAGGGGAGGAGGGAAGGAGGTGAGGTGGGAGGCCACCCTGGGTTGGGGTGATCAGCTCCTCCCAGGGCCCTCCCTGACAGAGCTCCTTTGCCTCCTGGCTGCGTGTGGGTGTGTATGTGCCAGACTGAATGAATGCGGCCAGCCAGCTCCCGCCACCGCCTTTAGTGCTTGAGAGTCCTCTAACAGCCAGGCTTCCACTATTTCTTCCTGACCCCCAGGTTGAGAGGTCCTTCCATTCCATCCATACCAGCCTGGCTGCAAATGTCCTTGGGAAACAGCCTGGGGAGGGGGCTGGGCAGGCTATGTGTAACAGCATTCTGTGTCCAGGGAAGGGAAGGTGACCCCGGGCTGCTGCGACAGCCTCTCTCTCTTAGATCTGAGAGTAGGGAGGTTACATCTCTATAGGGGATCTTGAACAACATGCTTCTGCTTTCTAGGCCTCAGCTTCCCTATTTGTCAAATGGACTGAGGGTCATTATGACCCTGCCTAGACAGATCTACTGTCTGGTGGTGGTGGTGATGGTGGTGTGTGCGATTGTGTGACAGGTCTGAAGGGCAAGGGCTGAGAACTGATAGCTCTTCATAGGTTATATCCCCTAGGCTGTGACTCCTCCAGACTCTCCTGCAGGCAGGGCATGCCAGCTTCTTCCTCCTCTTTGCAGTCAGTCACCCCACTGCCCCCTGTTTTGGAGCCTGGGACATTCCAGTCTCATTCCTCTGGGGCAGCTGCAGTCACACCCCTCAGCAGAGGCCTCATCCTCTAGCAGGTGGTAGGACACTCCCTGGTGGGGGGGTGGGCAACTAATCGCGGCAGTGCTTACACCCATGTAGGACTGGCGTGTCCCACTCTAGAGCAGTGGGAGGGGGCTTCTGAGCTGTGACTTTTTGACATTTCCCCTTCTGGTGCTCACTTTCCTTTTTGTGTTTGTGTGTCTGTGCTGAGACTTGAATTCAGGACCTGAGCAATGTCCCTGGGTTCTTCTGCTCCAAGGCTGGTGCTCTATCTTTTAAACCACAACTCCACTTCTGGCTTTTTGGTCATTCATTAGAGAGGACTCTGATGGACTTTCCTGCCCTGGCTGGCTTTGAACCTGTTTTCTCAGTTCTCAGTCACCTGAGTAGCTAGGATCACAGATGTGAACCACCAGCACTCAGCCTCGGTTTCCTTTTTTGAAGTGAGAGTTGACAGAGCGCACATCTGATGTGTCTGGAGCTCAGAAGCAACCAAGTCTGGGAGGAGGGTTCAAATCTGTACGAGAGAACTGGCACACAAATGTTTTTCTCTGCTTGGTGGCCAAGGCCAGCTCCATTTTCTATTTCCACCAAGGGTTGTTCCAGAAGAGATGCCCTTCTGTGTTTGGGGCTGTCAATGCTGCTTGCTAATCTTGGAGTTAGTGAAGGGGCCCTGTTGGGGCCAGCTGGGGCATGTGGAGAATATGGCTGCCCAAACCTCCCCAGCTGAGTGATTGTGGGTTTTCGCGTTAATGCTGAGAACTGGGGCCCAGGGCAGGTAGGCTGCTTTGAGGAGAGACGCCCAGATCCTCAGAGGAAGCCCCTGCTCTCTGTTCTGCTGTTTTTCTGTTCTGGGGTCCCAGGGAAGCTACAGGGCACCAAATCCTTTGCAGTCCTGTGTGCACAGCTGCCCCGGCCTGAGCGGGCAATCTCCAGTCTCAGGCTTCCAGGCAACGGAAGGAAGGAATGTATGTGTGTGTTGGGGGAGGGGTGGAGGTGGAATGGGCTCTTTAAAAAAAAGATTGCCCCCTGATTGAGACCTAGGCCTGGTAGAGCTTCCTAGAGAAGCCAGGGGCCTCAGCCTTGCTGGGGAAGCTGATAATACAGCGGAGAGGTTGCTAGGAGGGACTGGGGCATGACCTCTCTCTCTCTCTCTTTCTCTCTCTCTCTCTCTCCCCTTCTCTCTCCCCATTTTGCCCCCCCCCCCAACTAGGGCTTAAACTTAGGGTCTTGTACCCTTGATTGGCTTTTTTACTCAAGGCTGTCAGTCTACCACTTGAGGCACAGCTCCACTTCTGGCTCTGTGTGTGTATGTGTGTGCATGCCAGTCCTGGGGCTTGAACTCAGGACCAGGGTACTGTCCCTGAGCTGCTTTTGCTCAAGGCTAGCTCACTACCGCCTTGAGCCACAGCTCCATTTCTGCATAGTTAATTAGAGATAAGACTTTCCTGCCCTGGCTGGCTTCAAACATGATCCTCAAATCTCAGCCTCTTGAGTAGCTAGGACTACAGGCGTGAGCCACCAGTGCCCTACCGGTTGCTTCTCTTGATAGCCTGAAGTGAATATCTGCCCAGAAGAGGGTTGAGGCGGTGTGTTTGTGGTGAGGTGGGCAGACCTAGCATCAGTGCTACTGTCTCCACCACTTTTGGCCACAAAGGGCTCAATGGTTCACAAACCCTTTCACTTGTGCAGTCTCTCAATTACAGTTGCCCTATAAGGAAAGCAGGGCAAGATGTGGAAGTCTGCTAGTGCCTGGGGTGGGTCCCCATGGTGGTGGGGAGGAGGGGTGGGCGCTGACTAACCAGAGCCCAGCTTCTCAGCTCTCCTCTCTCTCAGGAAGCAGTGACAGATCAGTGAATGTACTTTTACCATACAGTGCTGTCTTGGTGGGTTGGCTTGTCACCAAAAGGAGGTGTCAGATGGGGAGGAAGGATCACTCAGTTCCAGTTCTTTTTGGCTGTGTGTGACATTTGGGTCCTGCTACACATTTAATAACTGTAGCGTTGGATTCCTTGCTGTCCTCACCCTCACCATTGCTATAGCCTTGGGTTCAATCATCTCACCTTTCTGAGCCCCAGGAACCTTGCCTTTAATAATGGGGGCCAGTAGTGCTACGTGTTGGTGGCTCATGCCTATGATCCTAGCTACTTGTGAGGCTGAGATTTGATGGCCATGGTTTGAAGCCAGTTAAGTCAGGATATTTCTTGAGACTCTTATCTCCAGTTAAGCACCAAAAAGCTGGAAGTGGAGTTGTGGCTCAAGGGGTTGAATGCTAACTTGAGTGGAAAAGTTAAGGGAGGGGCTGGGAAGGTGGTTCAGTAGTAGAGTGCTTGCCTTGCATGCATGAGGCCCTGGGTTTGATTCCTCAGCACCACATAAGCAGAAAAATCTGGAAGTGGTGCTATGGCTCAAGGGGTAGAGCACTAGCCTTGAGCTGAAGAGCTGAGGGACAGTGCCCAGGCCCAGAGTTCAGGCCCCATGACCGACAAAAAAAAGTCAAGGGACATGTCTCCGTCCTGAGTTCAAGCCCTAGTACTGGGGTACACATGCAAACAGAGAGAGAGAGAGAGAAAGAGAGAGAGAAGGAGGGAGGAAGGAAGGAGCCTGTGTTTGTCAGGGACCCAGCACCTATATTCCTTACCTTGATATGTAAGATATGTGAGCTGTGATACCCCCCCGCTAGGGTTTGACTGTTCACAACTCTCCTCCTTTCCTATAAGAAAGTTAACACGGGGGAGCGTTGGAAGGTTATAATATATTGCCCAGGGTGCAATTGAGGGCTGTAGCCTTTGGGGTGGAGGACCCAGCTACTCTCTCTTCCGGGAAAGCTTTGTCTTTCACCAACACAAAACCTGGAAATGGTTGAGGAAGACGCAGCCTCCTAACGGTCATTGTTTGGGGGGTGGCAGGGGGTGTCCCGGAAGCATATTGGGTGGGTGGAGGACACCCAGATGCAGCCTCACACAGACTGCCAGGCATCTGTTTGGGCAATGGGAGCAGTTATAAGTGGGTGGAACAGAGGGAGAAAAGGTAGTATTCAATGCATGTAGTTTACACCTACTGTATGGTATGTACTGTATGGGCACTGGGCAGGGTAAGATGCATGAATCAGTGACTCTAGGTACCAGCTCCTTACCTTGCAGAGTGTGGGTCCCAGCTCTGGCGGGGAAGATAGTCTTTAAGTCTGGTCACATGGTATGAGTAAGCCTGTCCTGGCCAGACCTGGAATTATCTTACCACGTCATCACCAGTGATAAGCACTATCTTTACCCTTGGATCACCCAGGCCAGCAGAAGTGAGGGGCTTGGCCAAGGTCACATACTGATTAGCTCCACCCTGGGCTGAGATTTGAGGCCCATCCTGCTTGCTGGAAGGCTTTGGTTTAATAGTAATAGTATGCAAAGGCTGGTGAGAATTGGGCCTGTCCTTTCCCACTCCCTCCCACTACTACGCAGACCTGAACACCTGTTCCGGAAACCAGGGCCATTGTTCCTCCCCTTGGGCCCATCCTGTTTGCATCACCATCCTTCCTCCTCTCCGGCCCTTCCTGTTTGTGTCCCTCCCCCTATAGCCCACCCCTACCCCCCCCCCCCCACCACTCCACCCATGCCCTGTGTTTCCCTGGAGTGGGGAGCTCTAACCCTTGCCAGGAAGAGAGAGGCAGGCCTGTGGGGTTGTCCTGAAGGAAGAGGAAAGAATAAAGTTCTTTCCCTGCTTTTCCTCCTTGTCCCTCAAACTTGACTGGAGAGTGAGAAAGGGCGGGGTCAAATGGAATCTGAGTCTGTCCATGGTAGCCCTTTGCTAGTCTGAACCTGGGGGGCTGGCCCCTGTCATTCTGTTTGAGAACCTACCCTTCCCAGCCCCTAGCTTTCCTTCTAAGATTTAAGCCAATTTGGTAGTGTATTTGACAGGCAGATGGCTTTGGGGCCTGTGTTCCATTATTTGGTTGTTTATTTTCCTTTGTGCTGGTACTGGGGTTTGAACTCAGAGCTTTGATGCTGTCTCTGAGGATTTTTTGCTCAAGGCCTACCACTTCTGGCTTCTTTGGTGGTTCATTGGAGATCTGAGTCTTGGGGGCCTTTCTGCCAGGGCTGGCTTTGAACTGTGATCCTCAGATCTCAGCCTCCTGAGTAGCTAGGATTACAGACCTGAGCCACAGAAGCCTGGCCTGTACTTCTTTCTCTTGCCAGTCTAAATCCTGTCCTGACATTTCTCTCTGTCACCCAAGACATCTGCCCACATCTGCCTCTCTTGCGCCTGATGGGAGGAGTTAAGAGAGAGCTTGGTTTGAGATCATTCAGGAAGGCTACCGAGTTCCCACCAATCACTAATGGAGCCTCTCCATTCCCAGAAGCAGCTGCCTGTGCCCTGTTGAAACTTCATGGCCACAGCCTCAGGCCCAGCTGGCATTGCCATGGGAAGCGTGGGCAGCCTGTTGGAACGGCAAGACTTCACCCCTGAAGAGCTTCGGGCAGCACTCGCCGGGTCCCGGGGTTCACGCCAGCCAGATGGGCTCTTTCGGAAGGGGTTGGGCCAGCGTGAGCTCCTCAGTTACCTGCACCTCCCCAAGAAAGACAGCAAGACCCCCAAGCGGGCACCTCGGAATGAGCCTGCTGATTATGCCACCCTCTACTACCGGGAACATTCTCGGGCTGGTGACTTCAGCAAGACTTCGCTGCCAGAGAGGGGTCGGTTTGACAAGGTATGCCTCTGTCCCTCCACCTTTTCCTCGGGGAGGTTGGGGGGCCGGGAGGTATGGCCTTCTTTGGAGACCCTGATACTCTGATACTCTGTGGGATGGGGCAAGGTTAGGGCAGAGACTGAGGTGTGGACAGCCTGCCACAGGCTGGCCCAGCGCTGTTACTGAGCAGTCAACAACCCCTCACTCACACTCGCCCTCTCTCTCTTTCTCTCTGCCAGTGCCGGATTCGCCCTTCAGTCTTCAAGCCTTCAGCGGGCACCGGGAAAGGCTTCCTGTCCATGCAGAGCCTGGCTGCCCACAAGGGCCAGAAGCTCTGGCGCAGCAATGGCAGCTTGCACACACTGGCCTGTCACCCACCCCTGAGCCCAGGGCCCCGGGCCAGCCAGGCCCGTGCACAGCTGCTCCATGCCCTCAGCCTAGATGACGCTGGCCCCGAGCCGGAGCCCAGCCTGTCTGACTCCTCCAGTGGGGGTAGCTTTGGCCGAAGTCCTGGCACTGGCCCCAGTCCCTTTAGCTCCTCCCTGAGCCACATCAACCTCCTTGGGGGCTCCCTGGATCGAGCCTCGAGGAGCCCCAAGGAGGCTGGGCCATTGGCTGTGCTGAGCTGCCTGCCTGAGCCACCACCCCCCTATGAGTTCTCCTGTCCCACTGCTGAGGAGGTGGCTGTGCTTCCTGAGGCCTGTGAAGAGCTCAAGAGGGACCTTGGTGACCAGAATGGCTGTAACCCCTTCTCACAGGTGAGGGATCCCCCTGCCAGCTTGATTCTATGGCTCTGCACAGAGGAATAAGGAGGGTATCACTGCATACTGGTGGCTCACACCTGCAGTCTTGACTACTCCGGAGACTGAGATCTGATCTTGTCAGGGTTCAAAGCTAGCTGGGGCAGAAAAGTCCTTGAGACTCCTATTGACAACCTCAAAACCAGCACACACACACGCACGCACGCATGCACGCACGCACGCAAGCGAATGTCTACCTTTCTCCATATCCCAGATGGCAAGGCTGTTGTGTCAGAGGTAGTCCTTGCCTGAGAGCTGTACAAGAAGGAGGGGGAGTATCTGGCAGGCATCCTGATTTGAGGAGTATGTGTAGCTGGGGCATTCTGGGTCCAGTGGTTTATGAGACCAGTGGTAACAGCATTGAGCTATGGGATGGTGGAGCCTATAGCATCCAGGGGTAGGGCTTTGTCTGGATAGCTGGCATGGCTGCACTGGCCCCTATCCCATGCCCGTTTCCCCTGGCAGGTACTAGAGGAACGACATCGGCTGTGGTTGTCCGAGCTAAAGCGCCTATACGTGGAAAGGCTCCACGAAGTGGCCCAGAAAGCCGAGCGCAGTGAACGCAGCCTCCAGCTACAGCTGTTTATGGCCCAGCAGGAGCAACGGCGCTTGCGCAAGGAGCTCCGGGCTCAGCAAGGCCTGGCTCCTGAGTCTCGGCCCCCTGGCCCTGTGCCAGAGACTGACCCCAGTGCCCGGCCAGAAGAGGAAGCCCGATGGGAGGTATGAGACCCATTAGAACTCCTGGCCCATTGCCCCCATCCACCCTCCATCCATCCCTAGTCTCCCAGCCTGAGCTCTCCACCCTGCTTTTTCCTTGGCTCTTGTGCATCCACGCTGTGCATCCCCCACCCCCAGGTCTGCCAGAAGACAGCTGAGATTAGTCTCCTGAAGCAGCAGCTGCGGGAAGCCCAGGCGGAGCTGGCACAGAAGCTGGCTGAGATCTTTAGTCTGAAGACACAACTTCGGAGTAGCCGGGCCCAAACCCAGGCTCAGGATGCAGAGCTGGCCCAGCTGCGGGAGGCTGTGCGCAGTCTGCAGGAGCAGGCCCCTCGGGAGGAAGCCCCAGGCAGCTGTGAGACTGATGACTGCAAGAGCAGGGGGCTCCTGGGGGAGGCCGGAGGCAGTGAGGCCCGAGATGGTGCTGAGCAGCTGCGCGCAGAGCTCCTCCAGGAGCGGCTCCGGGGCCAGGAGCAGGCGCTTCGCTTCGAGCAGGAGCGGCGGACTTGGCAGGAGGAGAAAGAGCGGGTGCTGCGCTACCAGCGGGAGATCCAGGGGGGCTACATGGACATGTATCGCCGGAACCAGGCGCTAGAACAGGAGCTGCGGGTGTTGCGGGAGCCTCCCACACCCTGGAGCCCTCGGCTGGAGTCCTCCAAGATTTGAGAGTAACAGAGTGAGCAGATGTCGGATGTACTGTCAGAAGAGAGCCTGAGACGCCCGGCTCCTCGCTTATACTAGTCTGGGGCAGTATCTGCAGAGGCCAGCTAGGAGAAGAGAGGAGAGAGGGAAGGAATGCAGAGGAGGGATCCAGTGGGCGGTGGGCTGGATAGGATGCCAGCTACAGGAGCCAGGGTAAGGCCCTCCTGGGCAGAGGAGCACCCAGGCAGAGCCCAGTCCTGCTCCCTAGAGTGGGTGTGGCCCAGTGAAGGAGATTGAACCCTCCCCCCCCCCCAACCCCGCCATGGGACAGGGTGGTTGCAGATGTTGGCTGAGGCTTGCCTTGATTGAAGGAGCCTGGGGTGGGGACATTGGCCTCCTCCAGAATAAAAGCACATTTTCTACAAGGAGACCATGGGTGGTAAGTTAGGGCCTCGAACCAGCCAACTTGAGTGGTAGCTGCTTCCATGGCCGCCATCGTGGTTGTTGTGGCTTGTCTGCAGCTGCCCATCACGTGTGCTGAGAATGGAAGAAGATGCCACGTGGGCTGAAATTCTTGTCTTCTTTTGTACCAGTGGATTTTTCAGAAGGAACAATAAATACCAGGGAACTCCAGGAAGACGAAGTGGCATGCCAATCAAGGCATTTCAAAGACATGAAGTGTTTATTGGCCCCGGGTGGGGGGGTGGGAGGGGGCTGATCTAGCCAGGCTCCCCTGCCGGGTTTGGGGCCAGCCCCCACGCAGTTTGCCCTGGAACATCCAAAGGCTTCTTTGGGGCTCTCCTTCTCGAGCTCACCTCCCATCTATCCAGCTGTGGTGTCTCTCTCCCTCTACAAGGGTGGAGGCCATGGGCGCAGTTGCAGGAGAAAGCTCAGTGGGGAAAGTTTGTATATGGGTCATTTGGTAAAGGGTTTCCACCAGAGCAAGAAGAATGAAACATTTTTTCCCACACGTAAGGAGGGCTATGGGTATTTTTATGCAAGGGTGAAAGGGGAGGTGAATTTTACTCTAGAAAATACTGTTCTGGGGAGAAAGAGTTCCTCACTGCTCACTGTCATACTGGTATATGCATGCCTTAATGACCTGGGTACTGTCCTTGAGCCTTTTTGCTCAAGACTGGCACTCTACCACTCGAACCACAGCTCCACATCTGGCTTTTGAGTAGTTAATTGGAAGTAAGAATCTCATGGACTTTTCTGCCTGGTCTTCAGATCACAACCTCCTGAATAGCTAGGATTACAGATGTGAGCTACCAATGCCTAACTTTCCCTTTGTTTTTTCTTCTCTCTTTCATAGTGCCTTGCTATGTAGCCCTAACAGGCCTTCTAATCTTTCCTTAGCCTCCCAACCAGTTCACCCATTTCTAGACACAAAGTTTTGCTACCTTATAGAAGCATCATTGGAATGCTTGCCATACATTGATTGTATGCCAGGCACCTATATGGGGTCCTTTTGGGCTTGGGGGCTCTGGATAAATTTCATGCACTTCCTGCTCCAGGGGAGAACCATAACCATCTCTTAGGTTACTCCCTTCAACTGTCCTTTGGTTCTTCCAGGCCAGGCCTGTGAGTCCTTTAGGTCCAGCTAGTGGGAGCTGGGGGTATGCATGGCCACTTGAGAGCTATGGCACAGGAGTTGACTTGTCCCTCCTTTTCTTAGGGAGGAGAGAGGGGTGTGAGTTGTCTGCTTTGTTTATGGCTGTGTGCGTGGCTGGGGTGTGTAGACAAGTGCTTGTGGGTGGTGGGTGTGTCTGAGGGGGTGTGTTTGGGACTCCAGGGTTGGAGGCTAAAAAGACTGCTTCCTGTCCCTCCCTCTGCTATATCTTCCCAACAGCCCCACATCTGAGTAAGACCCACACTTGGATAGATCCTGTGTCTCCGGAAGATCCCACCTAGCCCCCCGACCTGGTCAGAGGAGGGTAAAGGGAAGTGTCTGCCTTCACAAGCCAGTTCCCACCAACCTTGCTCCCCATTCCCATTCATGGGCCCCTTCAAGTCCTAGACCCCCAGACATTCTCCTATAACTGAAGCCAGGTGCTGGCCTGAAGCCTACATCACTCACCACAGCCAGGAGCTGGTCAGGCGGGGTGCCCACGTGCCTCCTAGTGGCTGGGGCCCACCTTTTGGTATACCAGCTCTTCAGAACAGCTCCCCACCCAGCAATTAGGGAGCTGGGCCGGCCAGTACAGCCAGCGGGGAGTGGGTGGGCGGTACCAAAACTTGGCAGTCATGCCAGAAACCAGGGCCAGGCCCAGATGTAGAGGGGGGGAGGGAGGGCGCCTCAAGAGAACCAGATCCTGGTTAGCTCATCTGTGCTGGGCAAACCAGTTCCTTGGTCCCCAAGCAAGCTGGGTGGCTCTGGGGCCAGCTGGTCACAGGTGTCACAGTGGCTACTGTTTGTGGGAAGTGCTCCCTTCTGCTCTTACAGCTTCCTTTAGGCTCCACCTCCCCATGGTCTCCTGGCTGACACACCTGGCCCCCGGGGCAGGTAGTTCCATGCAGAAGTATGGCAAACCCTCAACACTGTACTGTTCTCTCTGGCTCTAATCCCTCCTGTTCCAGTCAATCTTTGGACACCTTAGCCAGTCGTGAAGCCTCCAAGGTTCCTGACAGTGGTGCCCCCTTGTGGTGTCAGTGACCTAAGCAGGCCTTCAGCTCTCCATCCCTCATCTATCCATTTTGCTATCATGGCTTGAACAGGAGAAGCAGGAACAGGGAGAGGTCAGGCATTGCTTTGTAGCCACTGGAGGGTAGAAGGCATTGGGGTCTTGGGCAGGTCCTGAGGTAGGGAAGGCTGCTGTGGCTCACCTGGGCAGGGCCTTGGTGCACCCTGCCTCTCCCAAGAAGCTCCCTGAACTCGCCTTTCCATCCCCCACTCTGCCTGCAGCCCCCTACGTCTTCAGCTCTTTCTACCGCTACTGTAATTGTTCCTTTGCCTCTGCCTCCCCTGAGCTGTAAGCCTCGCCAAGTCAAGGGCTGTGCCCTTGCCTGTTCTGGCTTCAGTCCCAAAGGCACTGGGGGAAGTAGACATGGGGCTCACCAGACCCCTCTCTCCAATTAGGATGATTGCAAAGTGAGTGGGCAGGAAAGGGGCTGACATGCCAGGTCTATGCCAAGTGTGGGGTCTCCAGAGCCAGTGAGTGGCCCTCACTGCATGGAAATGTACTGAGGGTCTCCCCAGCCAGATGTTCTCTGGTGAGAAGTCATGGTGATCAACTTCCCCTGCACCCCTCTATTCTTATGCTACTGACTTAGAGTGGAAGAGGAAGAGGATCGCACATCCCCACTAGTGTAGACTATTCCAGATGGTGGTCAGGGCCTAGCAGGAGATGATAAGAAGAATCTAGAAGAACTGAGAGAGACTGACATGGAGACAAGTCAGCAGGACACGGGGAAGAAGGAGGAGGAGCTCCTGTGGATCATAAGAAACTTTTTTTCCCTCCTCACAGGGTTCATGCTTGTGATCCTAGCTACTCAGGAGGCTGAGATCTGAGGATTGGGCTTTGAAGCCAGTCCAGGCAGGAAAATCTTTTGAGACTCTTATGTCCAATTAACCAGCAAAAAGCAAGATGTGATGTGGAACTCTGGGTCAAATGGTTGAGTGTCAGCCCTCAGTGAAAAAGCTAAGGGACAACACCCAGGTCAAGCTCCAGCAGCTTCACACACACACACACACACACACACACACACACACACACACACAATCCCAGTGCACAGAGAATGACTAAAGCAAGCATGGGATAACACTGAGGTTGACAGTGAAAAGTGGAGTTCAAGGATAGTCACTTAGTGAGGAGACAGAAGATAAAGGTGAACTGGCCTAAAGTTTGGGTTCAAGGGGCTTTGCTCACATCGCTTGGCAGTGAGGCAGAACAGGGCCTTGGAGAGGAAGTGGGGAAGCCTGGGGCGCTTTCTTAAGCTTGTGAGGTCCTGTCAGCTCCTGCTGGATCCAGTAAGGATCCTTCAACTCTTCGCCCCCACAGCTTCCTCTACAGCTGTGGCAGCCAGGCCACCCAGGTGCAGGCCAGGCATCTGCAGGATGCTCTCAGGACTCCCGTCAGGCTCTGCGCCGCCCTCTTCCTCTTCCCTGCCAGGTGTCATAACGTTTTTTTTTTTTTTTGAGCTGGATTTCCTTTTTCGTCTGAGGAGGAGGTGGTTCAGCATGGTTGTGCACCTACTGTGTTCCAGCTTTGAAGACAAAAGCCCTCTCTGCAAAGGAGCTTTTTATGCTAAACACAGGGGAAGCAGAATTAGGGGCCAGAAGATTGAATCAACAAATAAACACATCATTTCACATGGAGGCTGTAAAGAAAACAAAGCTGGATTGTGCAAGTGCCACAAAGAAAATAAGATTGTGCAAAGGCCGGGGAAGCCGGGCAGAAGTGGGGTGGAGGTGGTGTGAAAGTTTCCAAGGTGGGGGGCAGTTAGAAAGGCCTGGGGTGAGATTGAAAACAGGAGAAAGCCACAGCAAATCCGCAAAATAGACTTCTTTTGGGGTTGTTTCTTGTCTGTCTTTGAAGTCTGGAGGGGCTGGGGGTTTCTCTTATCTCTTTTCTCTAAGATACAGAGAGGCCGAAAAGACCTCACACCTATAATCCTAGCCATTCAGGAGATTGAGATCTGGAGACTGCAGTTCAAAGCCTGCCTAGGCAGGAAAGTCTGTGAGACTCTTATCTCCAATAAATTACTCAGATAAAGCCAGAAGTGGCACAGTGGCTCTAGAGTGCTAAACTTGAGCAAAAAGAGGCTCAGGGACAGTGCCCAGGCCCTGAGTTCAAGCCCAGGACTGGCCAAAAAGAAAAAAAAGCAAAAGGTTAGGGAGAACTGGAGGCCCAGAGACCTGAATTCAAGCCTCAGTACTAGGGGGAAAAAGAAGAGGCTGGATCCTAAATGCACTCGTTTCTTAGGTTTGTTGGGCAGATGTATAACCACTACCCCATTTCAGGAGTTACATATCTGCTTCTATGGAGTGTAGCAGGGCAGGGGCTGCCCTTCCTAACCCTGCTCCACTCCTGCAGGACCTAATTCTGCAATTCAATATATAGTGGGCAGAATTAAGGTTTGGATTTAGGGGTTCCACAAGAACTTTGAAGCATTTACATAGAGGAGAAAGCCTCTATGTAGTGCTGTTTAGGATTTTTCAAGTTACTATTTTTTATTTTTATTTTTCGGTGCTGGGGATACCAGGGCCTTGCCCTGCCACTGAAGTAGTCTAAATTTGAATAAGAAGGGAAAATTGTGACTAGGAGACTCCAGCCAGGTGGCTGAGAAGAAGAGCCAGAGGATCAGTCTGACGGATTCCCGCCGACTGCCAGGCTCTGGGCGGGGCCACAGCGATTGGTCCACTAGGCGCCACGAGGGCGTGGCCATGAAGAGAGAAGGCGGGACTTTGCTGTTTGTCCCGCCCCTTTGGGCGACTCCATTTGGCGCCTGGGGGAAGCCGACGGCCACCCCTCTAGGAAACCGAGAATGGACGAGTCCGGCTGAAAGGCGCAACCGCTGCTTCTTCCGCTTCCGATGACAGCAGCGCCGGAAGTCGGGCAGGGCTTGCGGGGCCCAAGTGAGAGCCGGCGGGCTCCGCTGTGCCAGGAGGTGCGGGCCGAGCGCAGGGCGGCCCGAGGCGAAGGTGAGGGCGGCGGCTGCAGTGGGGTGCGGGCAGTGTGGCTGGTCTCCAGGCCCGGGCCTTCCCCAGAAGCCCCCGGTCCGTCCTGGGGCTTGTTCCCTTTGCAATCGTGGGCCCCGTCCCGGGAACGGGGCCCCCCCCCCCCCCACGGGTCGTCGGGCCCGGCCCCGCCCTCCAGAAGCTGCCTGGGCCGGTGCTGTCCCAGCCGAGGGCCCCTCGACTGGGTCGCAGCTGACCCGCCGCGGGCGGGAGTTGGGGCTCCCAGCCGAGCATTTGAGCTGGCACTTTGGAAGGATGAGTCCGAGTGGGACATTTCATGTGCACGTTAATGCAGTGGGGGGGGGGGGGTGGCTGTGACCGGGGCACGTGGTGGACAAAGCAAGATTGGACACTTCAGATCCGAATGCACCACCGAGGGAAGAATCCGGACCCTATGACAGGGTGACTGGGTTGAGGGTAGGGCAGCATTAGAGAGACTGTGGCCTACAGGAGCTTCTATGCAAAAATGGCATTTGTCATATTTAATTGGAAGGAGCCAGTCATCGGAAGATATGAGGAAATCGGTGTTCAGGCTGAGGGCAAAGGCAATGCAAAGGCCCTGAGGCCAAGTAAACCCGGACTGGGCAAGAAACAGAAGGCCAATGTGACTGGAGTATGGCAAGAAAGGGGGGTGGGGGGACGTTGTGGTGAGAGATGAGGTTGGAGAGATGGGGTTTGTTTGCATAGACTTACTGACCATAGAAAGAAGTGTGTGTGTGTTCGAAATACAATGACAGGGGCTGGGAAGGTGGCTCAGTGGTAGAGCGCTTGCCTTGCATGCCTGAGGCCCTGGGTTCGATTCCTCAGCACCACATAAGAAAAAAGAAAAAAGCCGGAAGTGGCACTGTGGCTCAAGTGGTAGAGCTCTAGCCTTGAGCTGAAGAGCGGAGGGACAGCGCCCAGGCCCAGAGTTCAGACCCCACGACCGGACCCAAAAAAAAAAAAAAAAAGAAATACAATGACAGGTGGGAAGGTGGCTCAGTGGTAGAGCGCTTGCCAGCTGTGCATGAGGCTCTGAGTTTGATTCCTTCGCACCACATAAGCAGAAAAAGCCATAAGTGGCACTATGGCTCAAGTGGTAGAGCGCTAGCCTGGAGTTGAAGAGCTGAGGGACAGCGCCCAGGCCCAGAGTTCAGGCCCCATGACTGAAAGAAAAAAAAAAATACAATGACATCTAATATTTTTTGGTCAAGTAGTGATACATTGAGAATGGATATAGGTGGAGGACTGCCAAAGCATCAGAATTAGGTCAGTGTGCCGGGTGCCAGTGGCTCATTCCTGTAATCCTAGCCACTGAGGAGGTTGAGATATGATGATCTGGGTTTGAAGCCAACTAAGGCAGATGCATCTGAGAGACTTATTTCTAATTAATTAGGAAAAAGCCAGAACTGCAGATGTGGCTCAGGTGGTAGAGAACCAGCCTTATTGAAAAAGCCAAGGGCAATAAAAAGTCCCGAGTTTAGGCCCCAGTGTCAGTACCAAAAACAAAACACAAAAACTGGAGAGGGAGAGAGAAAATGAACACACAGAATTAGGTCACTGGTGGCTGTCATTTTTGTGTCAGCTGATAGGGACATCTTCCCTGATTTGCATAGCTTCCCTTCTCGCTACCTCAGGAGCACTCTTTCATGTTGAAGATTTGAGAGGAACCCTTTGTTCATACCTTGGTGTTGTGTTTCTTCTTGCTCACCCCAGCATTTTGAGTCGAGGCCAAAAAAAAAATCTGCATGTGCTTTCTGAGTTCTTCAGGTCAGCCAGACCCTGGACTGGGGAGAGGACAACCAGTCTCCTGGCCTTGAGCAGTTCATGAGCCTATGGGGGAGCCCTGGGTACAGGCTGTCACTGCGCAGCAAAGCGGAGGGCCCAGTGTGTGTGGAGCTCTGGGGACAGGTTTGCGAGGCAAAAAGGCTAGATGGGGATCTGATGATTGCACTGCCGCTCATGTTCTGGGTGCACCGAATAGAAGCGCAGAAGACACCCTGAGCATCAACAGGCTTTGTACTGAGGAAGTGAGTGTGGTTGCACAGGGCTTATGTGGCAAGCAAGGCGTGGTAGTATTGAACAAAGGGTGACAGGGTCTGGTGTGTGCTCAGGAGGGATCATCCTGGTGGATGGTTTCTATTCGTGGGAGGCATTGCAAAAACTTAGGACCAATCAGCAGCATGTGTATTAATCATGAGTCCGTCAGGGTCAGTGTACTCGGGCATCCTTGTGTCTGGAGAAGGTGATGAACCCATTCGGATAGGACAGCTCAATAGGAATGGATTGAATAAATAGCTTGTTTATAATATATGGCCTCCTATAATATATATCATATGTACGGTGTCATATACGTTATAACTTATATACAGATACATAGTATATTTAGTGTCTATACATGTAGGATATATATATGTATATATATGTGTATCTATATGTATGTATAGTGTGTGTGTGTGTGTGTGTGTGTGTGTGTGTGTGTGTGTGTGTGTATGCTGGTACTGGGGCTTGAACTCAGCCACAGATATTTGCTGCTTTCTTCTCTGATGAGGTTGTGGCCTGTTGGGCTGGGTTAGTGCCATGAGGTATAGTGCTTAGGGCAGGCACTATAGTGTAAGTATAGGTATAGTGCTTAGGCCCAGGCCACCCTCTTACTTCCTGCTCCTCCACTCCCAACCGCAGGACCGTGGACCACCTATTTACTCCTGCAGTCTCATTTTTTTCAGCTGCAGAATGGGTCAAATAGCCATACCCACCTCATAGTGTTTTTCTTTTTTTTAAATAACTTTTAATGTTTTTTTTTTTTTTTGTTGGTCATGGGGCTTGAACTCTGGGCCTGGGCGTTGTCCCTCAGCTCTTCAACTCAAGGCGAGCGCTCTACCACTTGAGCTACAGCGCCACTACTTTTAATGTTTTTTATTCCCTTTTATTAGTTGTATTTATTGTTTGTGCATCACTAAGAAATTGAACCCAGGGCCTCATGCGTGCTAGCCAATCTCTCTACACCTAAGTCACAATCCCTGCCGTGTTTTTTGTGACTTAAGTTGAATAAATGAGTTAATGCATGTGAAGTCATTAGACCCATGCCTGGCACATAAGCGGTCCTTATAAAATGCTGCCACTTAATAAATATAGCAATGATTATCATATCTGCATTGTACTTTATAACCTAACTTCTGGAATTGAAACCCTTGGGTACAGCAACTTAATAAAAAAAAAATAAGTAAATATTGAAAAAGTATTTCAGACAGGAGTTCCTGGTAAATTTCACCCATAATGGCTCCCATCCAGTTACAGTGTGTCCTTAGGGGGCTGGCGTGTGTAGATACCATGATACCAAATTGTACAGTGTGTCACAGCATCAGCTGTAAGGACATGAGGCATCACAGTGCCACTTTCCTGTCACTTGTCCCCTGTCTGGAAAGCAAACAGTGGCTGTGCCAAGATGGGGAAGTCAGGACTGGCGGTGCTGGTGGAGATGGAGAAGATCTCCAGGGACATCCTGCATCTAGGATGGTCCTTGAGAGACCGGCTGGGGATGTACAACACCTGCTCATTTCAAGAGGACAGGGAGGAACATCAACTGCTGCCAGGATTGTGCCTTCACGTGGAAGGCTGATCTGAAAGGGGAGGCAGGGGCTGGTGAGGGAGAGGAGAAGGGAAGGGCCTCAGAAAAAGGAATGAGGAGAAGAAGTTGTGTTACAGCCAGGGAGCTTTAGTCTGATGGGGAGACAGGCCCTCAGACTGGAAAGAGTACAATGAGAGCAGAGGGAGCCGCATGAGGGTAGGCTAGGGCTTGCTGCCTGGAACCTTGGAGCTGATGGCAAGTATCAGGGCAGGGGGCTGGGAGAGCACAGTCCAGACACAGGGCGCCCATCTGTGGACAAGGCCGAGGCTGGAGAGGTGGCCAGGCCCACCAGCTTATTCCCTGTGTTTCTAAATACTAGCCATTGTAGGACTGCTTTGATCATGCCACTGTGGTACATGAAAAGCGAATTCCACTAACGGAAGATGTGCAAACACACCGCTATGACTGTATGTGTGCAGTGTATGGTTGTCATTAGTTATGTGGCCCTGGGGGGTCCTGTTTTCTTCTGGTTAAAAAGAGAGCCAGACAAAAGTAACAGGACAGAGTTGCAAATAGTCATTTTCTCATCATGATATAAACATGTCCTGGCCTAGCCTGCATCCTTAAACACCCCATGGAGGTTAGAGGGAAGCTGTGGACAGATAACACTGTGGCAAGCAAATTTGTGTATCGATAGGCTGTGGGGAAGGTGAGAGGGATTGAAATAAATGGGAGTACGCTAGGGAAGAGGTGACACTGTTCAAGAAGAAACGTACTCATTACTTATGTAACTAATCCCTCTATACATACATCACCTTTACAATAACAATTTTAAAAAAAAAGAAAGAAATGGGAGCTCCCTCACAATGCCACCTGTCCACAGGGGCTTGACACAACTCACCTCCAGCCGAGGCCACCATGGAGCAGTGCGCGTGCGTGGAGAGAGAGCTGGACAAGGTCCTGCAGAAGTTCCTCAGCTACGGACAGCACTGTGAGCAGAGCCTGGAGGAGCTGCTGCACTATGTGGGTCAGCTACGTGCTGAGCTGGCCAGTGCAGGTGAGTGCCCTCCCCCCCCCCCCCAGGAGTCCACACCAGTCTCCCTGCGGACAGGGAGAGCCAGGGCTGCTTGGGGCGGGGTCTCAGAATGATGGCACATGATTCGTAGGCCTCCTTGAAGGGAGCCCGATGAAATTAGTAGTCTATTTAGAATCATTTCTGTTTCGGTTTTGTTTTAAATTTGCTTTTTTTTTTAATGATTCTGGGGAATCAAGTCCAGGACCTCAGACATGCTATCACTGAGCTCCTACTTTCCTTTTTTTTGTTGTTGTTGTTGGCTGTGGGGCTTGAACTCTGGGCCTAGGCACTGTCCCTGAATTTCTCTGTGCTTAAGGCTAGCACACTATCACTTGAGCCACCGTGCCATGTCTGACTTTTTCTGTGTATGTGGTACTGAGGAATCAAACCCAGGGCTTCACTTCTGCTAGGCAAGCACTCTACCAGTAAGCGACATTCGCAGCCCCTACTTTCCTATTTTTAACCCTTAAGATTCTTTAAGGTAATTTCAAATTTATAAGCAAGTTTCAAGAGTCCTTGAAGGAAGTCATACAAGCCGGGCACTGGTACATACCTTTATATTCTAGTTTACCTGTAATCTCAGCACTCTGGATGATGGGAATTGCTGGTAGGATTGCTGGTATGAGGCCAGCTGGACTGTGTAGTGAAACTGTCACCAAAAACCTGAAGGATGGGGCTGTAGCACAGTGGTAGATCATTTGCCTTGCACACATGATTGTCAGCACTGCAAAAACTACACAAAACTAATACATACCTTTCACTGGTCCACCACCTATGCTGGCATGTTTGCTTTGTCATTCTCTTAAGTATTTTCATTATTCACCATTTGAAAGTAAATTGCAGCTATCTTATTCCTTTGTCCCTAAACCTTCAGTGTTATTTCTGAAGATCAAGCACATTCTCTTACATAAATACAGTATAATAAAACAAAAACACTAATGGATACAATATCACCTAATGACTATGGGTCGATTTTGCCATCGTCCCAGAAATTTTCACCAAACGTTTAAATTTTCTTAGTCTTGTTTAGGATCTAGTCCAAGGTCATCTGCTGCATTTATCTATGTGATTGTTTCTTTAGACAGAGTTTCGTTGTGTAGCTCAGTCTGGTCTTGAACTCCTGATCCATCTACCTGAGTCCTAAGTGCTGGAATCACAGGCCTGGGTACCACATCCTGCACTGTGGTTTATTTTAATGTCCATCTTGTCTTAGGTTTGACCATAAGGAACCACTGATCCCTGGGTTTTGTTTTGGTCATTCAACTTACTTTTTTTTTTCTTTTTTTTTTGATTGGTGGTTGTGGGGTTTGAACTCTGGGACTAGGTGCTGCCCCTGAGCTCTTTTTACACAAGACTGGTACTCTACCATCAGCCATAGTTCCACTTTTGCTTTCAGGGTGATTCATTGGAGATAGATATAGATAAAATATAAATTTTCTTGTTGGGACTGGCTTCAAACTGTGATATTCAGATTTCAGCCTCCTTGGCTGGGAAGGTGGCTCAGTGGTAGAGTGCTTGCCTTGTATGCATGAGGCCCTGGGTTCGATTCTTCAGTGCCACATAAGTAGAAAAAGCCAGAAGTGGTGCTATGGCTCAAGTGGTAGAGCACTAGCCTTGAGCTGAAGAGGTGAAAGGCAGTGCCCAGGCCCAGAGTTCAGGCCCTTTGACCGGCCAAAATAAAAACAAACAACCAGATTTCAACCTCCTGAGTAGCTAGGATGACAGGTTGTGAGCACCAGTGCCCAGCATCAACTTATGTTTTGAAAGTGTATAACTCAGATTTATTTGTGGTATTATCAAATCATGATTACTGTCTAATTTCGGAACTTTTTTTTTTTTTATTTTTATTTTTGTCGGTTGTGGGACCTGAACTCTGGGCCTGGGCGCTGTCCCTCTGCTCTTCAGCTCAAGGCTAGTGCTCTACCACTTGAGCCACAGTACCACTTCCAGCTTTTTCTGCTTATGAGGTGCTGAGGAATCGAACCCAGGGCCTCGTGCATGCAAGGCAAGCACTCTGCCACTGAGCCACCTTCCCAGCCCCTACTTGCCTTCTTTGTCTATGCACTTACCTCTTCTGGACTCTTCCTATAAATAATGACAGTACATGGCCTTAGCTTCTGGCTTTTTTTCATTAGCATGGTGTTTTGCCGTTGGCTTGTTTTTGCCATGCTGTGGATTGAACCCAGAGTCTGGCACATGCAAGGCAAAAGCTGTATCACTGATCAACATCCCCAGCCCAGAATCGTGCTTTCCGGGCCTGTCCCATTATAGCACGTTTCAGTACTTCATGCCTTTTATGGCTGAATCTTATCTGTCACATGAGTGAATGAACATTTGATTTGTTCTATCTTTTGGTTATTGTGAATGATGCTAAGAATATTTAGGTACAATCTTCTCTGTGGGTATATAAGTTTTCATTTGTCTCAGAATAGAATTACTGGGTTCTATGTAAAGTATGTTTAACTTGAAGTTAAACCTATAGAATTCTATGTAGGAATGAATAAATGATATGTGCGGCCCATAGTAAGTACCCAGTTATCTTCACTCATAGCAGTCTATGATTTTACAGATGAGGAAATGAAGTCACTAAGAGACTGACTAGGCCAGTTCCAAGTCATGGATTTAAAAAAGTGGCAGGACCTGACATAGTAGCTAGGTATTTCCCTGTGGCATCCAGGGTGCTTTCTGGGCTGTCAGGCTGGTATTAGGAGAGGATCCAGAGACCTTGTCTGCTACAGAAGCAGGTGCTCAGTCACCTCTGTATCCAGACTCAGTCCACTCTTTCTCTGCAGCTCTCCAGGGGACCCCTCTCTCTGCCACCCTCTCCCTGGTGATGTCTCAATGCTGCCGGAAGATCAAAGACACTGTCCAGAAACTGGCTTCAGACCACAAGGATATTCATAGCAGCGTGTCCCGAGTGGGCAAAGCCATTGACAGGGTGAGCTCATGGGCGGCTCCAGACCTGAGGGTGGGAACACCCTGACTTGAGTGTGTACTGGGCCTAGCAGGAGAGTAAGGGAGAACACCGAAGTCACAGGTCCCTGTCTCTCCTCGTCAGAACTTTGACTCTGAGATTTGCGGTGTAGTCTCAGACGCCGTGTGGGACTCTCGGGAGAAGCAGCAGCAGATCCTGCAAATGGCCATCGTGGAGCACTTATACCAGCAGGGTATGCTCAGCGTGGCAGAGGAGCTATGCCAGGTATGTGCGCCAGGCAGGCCAGGACTGTGTGTCCTGCTTCCTACCCAACAACTTTCTAATGCCAATCTCTGCCCTCTCTCTCTCTCTCTTTTTTTTTTTTTGCTAATCCTGGGCTTGAACTCAGGGCCTGGGCACTGTCCCTGTGCTTCTTTTACTCAAGGCTGGCACTCTACCACTTGAGTCACAGCACAACTTCCAGCCTTTTCTGTTGATGTGTTATTGAGGAATCGAACCCAGGGCTTCATGCATGCTAGGCAAGCACTCTACCACTAAGCCACCTTCCCAGCCACTTTCTGCCATTTTTGAATACACTTATTTTAGAAAGGAAATCAGTCCCCCCTGCCATAAAATGGAAAGTAGCTCTAAAAATATGTGTGACAAAAAGCGAAGTTAGCGATTTCCAGAGTGAGATGCTGGCCAGCATGCTGAGCCCAGCTTGATATTAATGAAGCGATAAAGTAGTGCTGGTGAAGCGTTAGAGACACTGGCAGTGAGCGTAAAGGAGGCTTTGCCTTTGTTGAACAAGAACCGCAAAGGCATGTTTTCTCTGTAGCCATCCAGTGCCAAGCCCAGGGCTATCCAGTACCCCACAGGTGTAGGTTCTGCTTCTGCACTGTGGGACCCGTTGGGGGCATTCCCAGATACCAGCTGGTATCCCAGAGTGGATATGAGGACAGAAGGGCCCAGGCCATAGCAGGGAGGGAATCTCAGCTCCTCTTGCCAATCTGCTTTCCTCTCCCCAACCAGTCTTCGGCAGATGACTTTTTTATTGTGTGCCTAACAGAATCTGGGAAACCCTCTTTCAACAGGAATCAACGCTGGATGTGGACTTGGATTTCAAGCAGCCCTTCCTAGAACTGAACCGAATCTTGGAAGCTCTTCATGAACAGGACCTGGGGCCAGCCCTGGAGTAAGGAGCCAGCGGTGGGCCAGCAGCTGCTCCCCTCCTACCCTCCCAGGACCCAGGGCCCGCCCCTAGGCTTCCAGCCCTAGCACAGGGCCTTTCACAGGCTTTTGGAACCTTCCCTGGGAGAGGGCACTCCACCACACCAGCACCCTGCTCAACTGGCCCTTTCTTCCAGATGGGCCGTCTCCCACAGGCAGCGCCTGCTGGAGCTCAACAGCTCCCTGGAGTTCAAGCTGCGGCGGCTGCACTTCATCCGCCTCCTGGCAGGCGGCCCCGAGAAGCAGCTGGAGGCCCTCAGCTATGCCCGGCACTTCCAGCCCTTTGCTCGGCTGCACCAGCGGGGTGAGTGTGTGTGTGTGCTGCCCAGCTTCAGCCCACGTCTGCATGCAACCCTGGTCCCCATGCCCACATGAGGCTCTGTTACTCAAGTAATCTTAGGTGGCTCGCTCAGCCCTTTGCCTCCAGGGTGAGGTTGGAACCAAAACACTTTAGTGCTAGCATGGTAGTATGTGCCTGTAATCCCTAGTACTTGGGAGGTTGAGGCAGGAGGATCACAATATGAGGCCTGTCTGGACAACGTAAGCAAGACTTGATTCAAAAACAAAGGAACCCTTTGGTCTCTTTTTATTCTTTTCTTTTTTCTTTCTTTTTTTTTTGTGAGACTGAGACTGAGACTTGAACTCGGTACCTGATGCTTTCTTTGCTTATTGGCTGTCACTGTACCAACTGAGTTATACCTTCAACTCCAACTCCCAAGGTTCTCAATCTACCTTTGCCAAGCTTTTTTTTTGTTGTTGTCAGTTGTGGGGCTTGAACTCTGGGCCTGGGTGCTGTCCCTCAGCTCTTCAGCTCAAGGCTAGTGCTCTACCTCTTGAGCCACAGCACCACTTCCGGTTTTCTGAGTAGTTTATTGGAGATAAGAGTCTCTTGGACTTTTCTGTCTGGGATGGCTTTGAACCTCTATCCTCAGATCTCGGCCTCCTGAGTAAGCAGGATTACAGTTATTGAGCCAGCGCCCGGCTCCCAAACCATTTTCATGCCTCTTCATGCTGTGTCCCATGCAGCAGAGTGTGCCAACCCCTTCCACTGCTTTGCCTCGAAGGGCTCTGCCTGTCTGTTAAGACTCTCTTGTACCTCTTCTGGCTCATCTTTCTGAGTCCATTTCCTCCTATCTTGACTGTGAGGCGCTCATCATAGTAACCCATGCTGTTACCTTTTATTAGCTTCACTCATAATTAACTGCTTTAAATTTTAAACAAAAGCTTGCTGTCATGGTGCACAAGTGTTGTCCCAGCTACTTGGGCTGAGGTAGTAGGATTGCTTGAGTTTAGGAGTTGAGACCATCCTGAGAAACATATTGAGACCCTATCTCAAGACAAATAAAGTTTTATTTATAAATATAACATCGTGTGTGTGTGTGTGTGTGTGTGTGTGTGTGTGTGTGTGTGTGTGTGTGTGTGTGTGTGTGTGTGTGTGTGTGTGTGTGTGTGTGTGTGTGTGTGTGTGTGTGTGTGTGTGTGTGTGTGTGTGTGTGTGTGTTGGACATAGAACCCAGTCCGCACATGCCAGGCCAGTGCTCTACCCCTGAGCCTCAAACACTGATTCCAAGTTCCCACATTAGTGCAGCCTCTCAAAAGCTCCAGACCTGGATGAGTTATTAAGAGTTAAGTTGTAGTTGGTGAGGGCATGTGGTTAGCAGATTCCTACCTGCTCTCCAGGCATTTGGAAGGCTGGAGACATGGGAAAGCACCTGACTCTATGTTGGCAGTGAGTCTATCTGCAGACTTGACCTCCCCACTAGATTTCAGAGACTCAGCTCTGCTCGGGGCATTTCAGTCCCTGTGCAGTCTGGTCAGGCCAGGCCCCATGGGCTGGCTTTGCCTTGCCACCACTGGGGGATGGGTTAGGGCTTGGGTATTCCCTAGTGCTTACTCTGGTTGCCTTGCAGAGATCCAGGTGATGATGGGCAGCCTGGTGTACCTGAGGCTGGGCCTGGAGAAGTCTCCTTACTGCCACCTCCTGGACAACAGCCATTGGGCGGAGATCTGTGAGACCTTCACTCGGGATGCGTGTTCCCTGCTGGGGCTTTCTGTGGAGTCCCCGCTCAGCGTCAGGTACAGCTCACCCTGCCCCCTCTGCAGGTGGGAGGCCCTCTGCCAGGCCCTACCACATGCCAGGAACACCAGTGCTAAAGTGGTAGGCCATTCCAGGTAGACAGTGCCCAACCTACAATAAACAGGGTCCTGTGTACATCACCCCACTGCGAGCCCCTCCCCTAATCCAGGTCCTCCTGGTCTTGTCTCAGCTCCCACTTCCTGTCAGGGGAGACTTGAGTGACTGAGTAACGTGGACTTTGAGCTACTAAAGCTTACATGTAGCTGAGTGCTGGTGGCTCTCACCTGTAATCCTAGCTACTCAGGAGGCTGAGATCTGAGGATTGCAGTTCAAAGCCCAGCCTGGGTAGGAAAGACCGTGAGACTCCTATCTCCAGTAAACCACCAGAAAACCAGAAGTGGCACTGTAGCTTAAGTGGTAGAGTGCTCGCTTGCCTTGAGCTGAAGAGCTGAGGGACAGTGTCCAGGCCCAGAGTTCAAGCCCCACAACCGACCAAAAAAGAATAAAATAAAATAAAGCTTAGATGTCTCCTCTACTGTCCTTCCATTCTCACCTCCCAGCAATCCCAGGGGCTGGAGGTTATCTGTCTTACACAGGAGAAATGGAGGTTCATGTGGGCTAACCTGCTGTCGCCTAAGGAGCAAGGGATGCTTGGACTGATCCGAGCCACACATTCCCCCTCAGTATGTGGACTTGGGTCACGGTGGCATTTCCAGCACGGACAGCACTGGTCCTTGGGCAGGGAGACTGGTGGGCAGGACTGCTGTGTGCACTGTAGGGAACTTACCTGGGGTTCCAGCGGTGGGTTCCCTACCCCTTGTGGAATCTGGAGAACTGGGCACCTGTCCTCCATTACTTAGCATCAAGTTGATCCACAGTTATACCACATGTACTGACAGCCCTAAAGTAAGTGGGGCCCTTTCCCCTTGATATTATTCTATCCTCCCAAGGATGTTCACTGGTTTGGGCCAATCTCTGCCACTGGGGCTTCAGATTTTGGCTTAGGAATTCAGCATTCCCGTCAGCATGCCTGGGACTTGAGGAACTTTCATGTCACTTTAGAATGCTTGGTCTGTGCTGGGCTGCTCCAGCTCCTGCAGCCTCTGTCTCTGTTTGCAGCTTTGCCTCTGGCTGTGTGGCCCTGCCCGTGCTGATGAACATCAAAGCTGTGATTGAGCAGAGGCAGTGTGCAGGCGTCTGGAGTCACAAGGACGAGCTGCCGGTGAGGCCTGGCGGGGGGGTGCGTGTGGGAAGCAGGTGCAGGGGAGGCCTGCCAAGAAGGGAAGTGGAGCTCACCCTTTGCTGGCCTCTGCAGATTGAGATTGAGCTAGGCATGAAGTGCTGGTACCACTCGGTGTTCGCTTGCCCCATCCTTCGTCAGCAGACGTCGGATTCCAATCCCCCCATCAAGCTTATCTGCGGCCACGTCATCTCCCGAGATGCGCTCAACAAGCTCATTAATGGAGGGAAGTAAGTTCCCTGGCCCGCTCCATCTTGGCCTGCCTCTCCTGTTGGCCACCCCTGAGATGTTCATCTTTGTCCTCCCTTTGCAGGCTGAAGTGTCCCTACTGCCCGATGGAACAGAACCCAGCCGATGGGAAGCGCATCATCTTCTGATTTCTGCCTCCAAGGAACTTTGTTGGAAGGGATTTGTGCCCCACAAGCCCTGGTCTGTTTTGGAGGGCAAATGGGTCCCTTTCGCAGCACCTGGCGGAAGAGCAAAGCACTACCATATGGGCTAGACACCTAGAAAGTGAAGCACCTGCAGTCTGCCCTGGGCAGCCCGCTCCTTGGCTGTAAGGGGAGGGAGGGAGACACTGGCTTCTGTACTTGGCCTTTTCTGTTTCTGCCCTTGACTTCTCAGCAGCCAAGACTAGCAAAGTCCTCAGCCATCATCAGTTTTCCCACTCCTGCCTGCAGCTGTCTTACTGCCATACACTCAAGTCCCAGGGTGTGCAGCTGCAGCCCGCCTCCCCCCCCTGTACAGCTCCAACTGTATGTATCCTTCCCCTTACTGTAAATAGTCCACGTTAGAACTGATGTCATTTTATAACTCAAAGCAAATAGACTCACAGCCCTTCTCCTTACTTTGGCGCCTTGAGCTTCACTGACGAATCACCACTCATGCTTGCTGCATGCCAGCACTGGGGTTGGCCTGGGGACTGCTGCTAGCAAAGCCGTGTCCAGCTACGAGGCCATCTAGGCCCTTGGTTGGGGAAAACTGGGAACCCTGAGTGAGATGCTTTCACATGCATCCATGTAAAACCTTACTAGAAACCACGTAAGTTTCAATAGGAAGGTGAAATCTGGGTGTTGTGTGCTGAGTGCTAGGTGCTGGCTGCTGACAGCAGGAAGGAACTTAAGTCTAAAACATTTGGAGGGACTACCAGGAAGGGCCAGTGGGTCAAGCAGAACAGCTTGGGTCTTGCATTTAGCTTCCTGTTTAGAGTTTACTATGTAAATAGCTGAATTGCTTCCATCAGGCACAAGGCTTCTGGGAGAAAAGGAATGGGAGGGACCCGATGCAGGGGCTGCAGACTTGCGGGTGCTGCTGCCTCTTCTCAGAGCCTCCGCCTATTCAGAAAGGGGTAGCTGGCAACCCAATTTGGGCTAGAGCTCAGGCGGCAAGCCTGCAGAGCATGTGTTTTCACAGCACTCTGCAGAATTCTTTGTGAACTCTTCTTCCGCTCCAGCCTGCCTGCCTGCCTGCCAGTTCCTCAGCCCCACCGGCAGCTGTTGCGAGAAAACACCCACAGGCTCAGCACATTTTATTTAGTCTTAGCATTTACTTCCCTTATCCCACAGTCTTGGAACTGTCTGCATTGAAGACAGCTCCTCAACAGGAAATAGCACTGGCATTGTCTCTGCTGGCTCTACCTCCAAGGACAGCTGTTGGACCTGCCTGGGAAGAATCTGTGCCTCGGGACTGGGCAGATGCTGAGAAGGTGAGCAGCCCTCCTGCTGTCAGCCCAGCAGCTTCGGGAGCAGGTGCTGAGGTTGTGCCTGTGTCCTTCACAAGGGTGGTGGCAGGGCCTGCACCTCCTCCAGGCACTCGTCGTAGGCCTCCTGGTATTCTTCATGGGGCTTCACCATGATCACGCAGGTGGGGCGCTTGGAGCCTGCAGCGGCACCTAGGTCCTACAGAGGAGAGGCTACTTGGGCAAAGAGGCCGCACAATCTGCATGCTGCACCACAAGTGGATGACGTCCTAGCCTAACTTGGCACAGAACCAGGTTCCGTTGGTGCACATTGCACCAACAGAACATTTTGAGTTGGGCACTGGTGGCTCACACCTGCAATCCTAGCTTCTCAGGAGGATCGCAGTTTGAAGCCAGCCTGGACACAAAAGCCTGTGAGATACTTTTTCCATATGACTGTTGAGTCCACAAGTACAGTGATAGACCCCTAAAATACCACTGACTGTGGACCCACTTAAACACAACTAACATGGGTGCAGTGTCTGATTTACATCTGCTTTCATTCTTTTTTGAGGATCTCAGCCTCCTGAGTAGCTAGGATTACAGGCATGAGCCACAGACGCCCAGCTCCTGCTTTCATTCTTAATCCACAGATGAAGGGAACTCTTTACTGAGATTTGCCAGACAAGGTGGTGTCTGGGCCTTTTGTCCCAGCTCCTCAGGAGGCTGAGACTGGAATGCTGGGGCCCAAGAGTTTGGAACACTGAATGCCATAGAAACACTATCTCAAAAAACAAGCCAGAACAAAACCTATAGTGACAAATCACTTGCATCCCTCTTCCCCACCACTAGGAGGCAGCAGAGCCAGGAAGTCACCTACGCCTGTCTTAAGTTCTTTCTTTTCCTGCTGTGACTTGTGCAGGCTGCATCCCAGACACCCTCCCCCCCAAGGCTGGTCAGGGTGTGTTTGTAGAGGGTCTTGGGAAGGGGGCTTACCGTCTTGGAGGGGATATAGACATAGGGCAAATTACGGTCCTCACACATAACCGGGAGATGGCAGTATACCTCAATTGGTAATGTGTCTCCTGCCAAAACCATGATCCTGAAATGAGAAAAACCATCGGCATTTTTAGTTGCTCCCTCCTTCCTCCTCAGTTGTATCCCCAGAGCTAGGCATGGACGTAGAAAGATTAATAAGATGCCTTGCTATAAAGAAGCAGTTATTAACATGGGCCTGTCCACTTCTGAAGTTATGTTCAGCAAATGCATTCTGGAGAGGTGATTTCTACTTTTTTTTTTTTTTGCCAGTCCTGGGGCTTGAACTCAGAGCCTGGGCACTGTCCCTGAGCTTCTTTTGCTCAAGGCTAACACTCTACCACTTGAGCCTCAGTGCCATGTCCAGCTTTTACTGAGGAATCAAACCCCAGGGTTTTCATGCATGCTAGGCAAGCACCACTAAGCCACATTCCTTGCCTTTACTTCTTTTTTTGGGTGGTCTGGTTGTGGGGCCTGAACTCTGGGCCTGGGCGCTGTCCCTCAGCTCTTCAGCTCAAGGCTAGTGCTCTACCACTTGAGCCACAGCACCACTTCTGGCTTTTTTCTTTTTGCTTATGTGGTGCTGAGGAATCGAACCCAGGGCCTCATGCATGCAAGGCAAGTGCTCTACCACTGAGCCGCCTTCCCAGCCCCATTCATTCATTCTTTCTTTGGGCTTTGAGCTTGCTGTAGGCAAGTGTTCTATACTTGAACCCCCTTTCAGGTCTTGTGCTTTTTTTTCTTTTTTGGTGATGGTGGTCGTGGGGCTTGAACTAAGGGCTTCGGCATTGTCCGAGTCTTTCACTCAAGGCTAGCGCTGTACCACTTTGAGCCAAAACATCACTTCCAGTTTCTGGTGGTTAATTGGAAGTAAGAGTCTCAGTCAGGGAGGACTGGGAATGTGGCTTAGTGGGAGAGTGCTTGCCTAGCAGGCATGAAGCCCTGGGTTTGATTCCCTCAGTACCACATACACAGAAAAATTGGAAGTGGAGCTGTGGCTCAAGTGGTAAAGTGCTAGCCTTGAGCAAAGGAAGCTCAGGGACAGAACCCAGGCCCCGAGTTCAAGCCCCAGGACTGGCACACACACACACAAAAAAGTCTCAGGGACTTTCCTGCCCAGGCTGGCTTTGAACTGTGATCCTTATATCTTACCTTCCTGAGTAGCTAGGATTACAGGTGTGAGCCACTGGCCAACCTTATCTTACACTTTTTTTTTCTTTTAACCTGGCCTCAGATCTGGATTCTCATATCTCCTAAGTAGCTGTGACTACAGGTATGCTGTACCATGCCTTGTTCTATGGTCGCTGCTTCTTGGCAGCAGGTAAATGCTACCACGTGTTAACAAGTAGAGCAGTGCTGGAAAGGTGAGGGATGGAAGAGCTCTGCTCTCCTTGCAAGTCAGAAGAAAGTTTCCACCAGCAGGAAACAGCACTTGAAACCTGAGCGACATCAGATGGCCACAGAGGCCCAAGGCTGAAAGTCAGCATGGCACCATATATACAGGAAATGATTTTTTTGCAGCCTGGGCTGTTTTTGGAATCTAGGATGGAGAACAGGTAGACTGGCAAGCATCATGCCCAAGAGCCTAGAATGCCTGGCCAAGAGGTAGGGACTCTGTCCCATGGAGACGAGCCCACAGCATTCCTCGCTGCCAAGGTAAGAGAGCTCAGGCAGAGCCTTAGAAGGCCTGAATACTAGACTAGAAAGAAGAGTGTTCTCCAAGGGTGATGACAGGCAGACCAGGGCCCTGGTTCAAACTCCTGCTAACACACTCCTCTCCCTTCTACTCCAGGGCCCCCCCAGGCTCCTCTGCCTGTGGTAGCTTTAATATCAGTGTTCCTCCAATGGCCAGGCCTGGTCTTTGCTGTTTTCCCCTTGGCACCTTCTCCCTGACAGATCTGATCCACAACCCTGTCAGGTGCCACCTAGGACTTAACCCTATCCATTCCCTTATCTTTTCTCCAGCCTGGCTGCTCTCTTCCAAGCTCCTGTTTGACAGTTAAGCCTGGGATGGGAAGCAGTGGGCAGCCAGCCTGTATCCCAAGGCACCTCCAAAAACCGAATGTGATCTTTTCATACAACCTAGCACTAACCACAATGTCCAACTACAGGCCCGTCCATTGGGCTGAGCACGCTAACATCCAGAAGTCATACACCCCCACTGTGTATCTAAATGTCCTTGCCAATCATCAATCAACTTTAATCTCTCCCATCATCTCTCCTGGACTCCCCCAAATTTCCTCTTGCTTTTAATCCTTTCCTCTACTGCCAGAAACAAAATGTAATTATTATACTAAACCTACTACAGCTTACAAGACTCCACAGAAAGGTCCATTACTACTACCCTCTCCCCTGTCCTGGGACCCAGGCTTCTGGCAGGACCTTGTTCCCAAAATTAATCCTTGTGTCTTCAAGTAAGACCCTATCTCAAAAAACAAAAACTCAGCCAGGCACTGGTTGCTCATGCCTGTAATTCTAGCTATTCAGGAGGCTGAGATCTGGGGATCAAGCCTGCCTGAGTTAGGAATCCAGGAGACTCTTATCTCCAACTAGCCATCCAAAAGCCAGAAGTGAGGCTATGGTTCAAAGGGTAGAACATCAGCCTTGAGTGAAAAAGCTAAAGGACAGTGCCTAGACGCTTGAGTTCAAACCCAAGACCAGCGTCAAAACAAAACAATAAGATTCAGTTCTACTGGGACTGCCTTAGGAAAACTTAACCTCATGAAAACTTTCTAGTGTTAAAGCCCTCAACGTTGTTATCCCTTGTTTTGTGCAGTTGCAGACAGAACCCATGCAAACCAGGGACCCCCTCCCCCCCACCCCATGCAGTAAGTGCTCTACCACTGACACCAACACAGTCCCTTTAAGCACCTACTTTGTACCAGGTTTATGGATGGAAAATCATGGGGCCTTATTCTCAACGAGGTTACCATCCGGCCTGGGTGGGAAATACAGGGACTAAAATATAAGCTTCAGACCCTCATAAATGTCAGAAACGGCTGGGCGCTGCTGGCTCAGGCCTGTCATCCTAGCTACTCAGGAGGCTGAGATCTGAAGATCGTGGTTCAAAGCCAGCCCGGGCAGGTAAATCCAGTAGAATTTTATCTTCAATAAACCACTCAGAAAAAAAAAAAGACCGGAAATGGTGCTGTGGCTCAAGTGGGAGAGCGCTCGCCTTGAGCTGAAGAGCTGAGGGACAGCGCCCAGGCCCAGAGTTCAAGCCCCACGACCGACCAAAAGAAAAAAAAAAGTCAGAAACCTTTCTCACCGCACCTGTAACCAGCGATTATTCCCGTGAGAGTATGTGATCAATGCCATCCTCCTCCCCACAAGACGTAGCCCGAAGGAGACTCCTGGACCAAAGAAGTTGGAGTCTCCAAGGGAGCCGGCTTACACAAGTCTCTCTCCTCTGAAATTCGCTCCGAGCTCCTACGGAGATGTGTTGGTGTCCACGAGGGGGTTTAGTGGGTACGGGGCTGGGTCTGAGCCAACCCTTAACCGAGCACCGAGTGAGACAGTGGGAATAATTTCCGGCGGGGATGGGGGGGGGGGGTGTCCTTACCCTTTCTCGCCTTTGTTGACAAATTTCTGAACTTCCTTTACCCCGCGCCGGATCTGCTTCTGCTTCACCGCTGCAAAGACACAAGAGTCAGTGGAGGGGGCTTGCCCCCCCCGCGCCCGCCCCCTTCCCCCCTCCTGCTCTCAGGACCCCCCCCCCGCGCCTCACCTTTCTTGATACATTTATAGAGCTTGCGCGTGAGGCGGCGGGAAGCCAGGGGCTGCGCGATGGGGTTCAGATTGACCAGCAGCTCCTGATAAGTTCGCTCCCCGCCGCTCGCCTCCGCCGGAGCCTCCGGGCCGTCCGGATCGGCCTTTATTTTGGTCATCGCGGGCTCCGCGGGCAGCCGAAACCACCCCCAGAAGAATCCACGCGGCCCGGCGCTGCGGGAACCACTTCCGAGTCGTCGCGCCGGATGGGAAGCCGTCGTTCACAACAGCCAATTAGAAAACGACGTCTCCAACTCCGACCAATCGGCGACGCTCAGTGCTTTTAACTAAGGAACTGGGAGAGGCGGAGTCTTGGTCTTAGGGGCGGGGCTTTCCCTGGCCCCATCAGCTTTGAGGGAATCCGTAGAGGGGCGTGACCTGGAGGCGTGGCCTGGAGGGCGGAGGCGTGGCCTGACAGACGGGCGTGGCCTGACAGACGGGCGGGGCCGGCCGGCCGGAGGCGGGGAGAGCTTAGATTTCCCGCTTGCGTTTAAGATTTCAGTAACCCTGCTCGGAGGATCCCGTGTTGCAATCTCGGAGACGTGGGGTGTGCGTGCGTGCGTGTGTGTGTCTGTGTGTCTCTGTGTGTGTAAAACAGGCTTGAGGATCACGAATTCGAGGCCGACACAGCAAAAGGTAGCAAAAACCATACAAAACAGCGAGCACGGGGCGTGGTGGTAGCGGGCGGTGTGAGCCACCCGCACCAGCTAAAACTTTCGTTTGTTTGTGCCAGAAACTCCCTGGGTTGGGGGGAATGGGCGTGGCATGCGAGGATCGCAGGTGGAGGGGTGGGGCATGTGGGAGGCGGGGCCGCGTGGCGGGAGGCGGGGCCGCGCGGGTGGGCGGGGCCTCACTGGAAGGAGAGGCCTCATTGGGAGGCGGGGGCCACGTGACGGGAGGCGGGGCCAGGTGGCGGGGGCTGAGCCCGAGCGGTTCCACACACCTGAGCAGCTCTTGGCTGGCGTGGTCGCTGCTTCCTGAGCTGCTCGTGGTGGACGGTGCGCCCCGATCTGCGTCCTGCAGGTTCAGGTAATGATTTCTTTCTTTCTTGTGTGCTTGTCTAGTGTCTCCCATTTTCTCTCTCGGACCCCACTGCCTCCCTGTGGAAGGAAAGGCTGTGAGACTTGGGTAATGGATGAGTTGGGTAGCGGGCGGTGGCCCAGGTGCGGTCCTGAGCGGCCTTCGCGCCTCTGACTTGTCTCCTCTGCCGGGCCTGGGAGTCCTGATGATTAATTGGACGACTGATACAAATTAAGTGCCTGTGATAACGCGTGTCAGGCGCGCTGTTTTAGTGGTGGAGGAACAGGTGGTAAGTGCAGAGGCAGAGATGTTCTGGTAGCTGCAGGAGCACAGGTCGGTTAAATCAACGAATCGTTGACCGTGTCATCCTGGAGAGAAGGGCAAAATTATTAAAAATCGGACAGGGTACTTGAAGCTAAACTTTTTATATTAAAAATAATATTTATGTTGTTGTGTTGGTTACTGGGGCTTATATCCCGGGCCTTGGCACTATCCCTTAGCCTTTTGTTTTGTTTTTGTCGGTCGTGGGACTTGAACTCTGGGCCTGGGCGCTGTCCCTCAGCTCTTCAGCTCAAAGCGAGCGCTCTACCACTTGAGCCACAGCGCCACTTCCAGTTTTTTGAGTGGTTTATTGGAGATAAGTGTCTCACGGGCTTTCCTGCCCAGGCTGGCTTTGAACCATGATCCTCAGATCTCAGTCTTCTGAGTAGCTAGGATTACAGGTGTGAGCCACCGGCGCCCTGCACCCTTAGCTTTTTGGCTCAAAGCTGACGCTCATAAGCCACAGTTCCACTTTCAGCTTTTTGGTGGTTAACTGGAGATGAGAGCCTCTTGGATTTGTCTGCCTGGGCTGACTTAGAACCACAATCCTCAGATCTCAGCCTCCTGAGGATTACAGGTGTGAGTCACCAGCACCTGGCCAACCTTAGCTTTTCTAACCTTTGGTCCCCAGTACTGGAACTTGTGGCTCCCATCCGGGTTCTGAGGCCTTCAGACTCTCATTCAGCACCCTACCTACATTTCCTGGTGGTCGTCTCTGTGCAGAACCTTGGCTGTCGATTCATAGGCCTGGATTCATAATGTGTGGTCCTTTGTGAGTGTCTTTCACTTAGAATGATGCTTTCTAGAATCATCTAATTGGCAGCATTTGTCAGTGCTCCATTATTTTTTTTTTGGTCCGGTTGTGGGGCCTGAACTCTGGGCCTGGGCGCTGTCCCTCAGCTCTTCAGCTCAAGGCTAGTGCTCTACCACTTGAGCCACAGCACCACTTCTGGCTTTTTCTGCTTATGTGGTGCTGAGGAATCAAACCCAGGGCCTCAGGCATGCAAGGCAAGCGCTCTACCACTGAGCCACCTTCCCAGCCCCCGTGTTCATTATTAGTACTGCATGGTGTGAATGTACCATGTGCTCCACAGCAGGTGGGTTGGGTTGGGCCTGCCTTTTGGCTGCTGCGGCTCAGCTGCCATGCACAATCCTGTACAAGCCTTGCTGCAGGCTTTCCCCAGAACTCATGAGTCCATACCTAAAACTGGCATTGCTCGGTCACATGGTAACTCATTTGGATTCCATATTCCTTCTAGCTAGAGGACGAGGAGGGTTCCCGTTTTTCCCAGTGCTGCCCAACATATACTGTACTGTACCTGTAAGGTCTGGGCAGGGAGCAGGATCTCACTGTGGTTTTAGTTTGTATTTCTCTGATGGCTAATGATACAGAGTATCACTTTGTGTGTGTATATGTGCCTGTAGTGGTACTTGAACTCATGCATGATCTCTTGCTCTCACACATGTTTTCAGCTCTAGGCTGGTGCTCTTCACTTAGCTGCAGTACATGAGCATGTCATTGGCATGTAGAGCCCATAGTGAACATATTGGTGTACGTACACCCTGTGGACTTGCACAACTGAGTGTCACATGGTATTATTGCCCTCGGGATTGTGTGCTCTTGTCCACTCGTGGCTTCCTCCATGAATCCTTGGCCATCCGGGACGTCTGTCTTGTGTGTGTGGCTTTTCTAAAACGTCATCAGTCGGAATCCTAGCGTGCGTGTGGCCACTGCAGCAGTGTGAATTGAAGGCACAGCCATACTCCCAGCCTGCTGGTGTTTAGCTGAATGTTCTGCTGTCTGGAGAGTGTGGTTTATTAGTTATTCACCGATCAAGGACAGCCTGCTTGCTTCCTGGCAGTTCTAAGGGAAGTTGCTACAGCCGTCTGCGTGCAGGTTTTTGTGCAAATGTTCAGAGAGCATGACTACTGAGTTGGTTTACTTTATACTAAACTGCTAATTGGTCTTGCTAATTGCTCAGTGCCTGTACGTCCTGTGCATTTTGCCTTCCCACCAGCAATGCTGGGCGTTCCTGTTGCTCGTGGCCTTGCCAGCATTCAGTGTTGTCCATATGCGCGATTTTGGTCTATTAGAACCTATCTATTAGAATTTATATATTAGAATATAGATGTGTAGGGGCTTATTTTGATGTGTGTGTGTGTTGGGGGGGGGGAGGAGAGGGAGAAAGGGAGGAAAGGAGAGAGAGAGAATATTGGGGCTTAAACTCAGGGCCTGGGTGCTGTTTCTGAACTTTTTTGTTTTTTTTCTTGTGTGTCAGTCATGGGGCCTGAACTCTGGGCCTGGGCGCTGTCCCTCAGCTCTTCAGCTCAAGGCTAGCACGCTACCACTTAAGCCACAGGGCCACTTCCAGCTTTTTCTGCTTATGTGGTGCTGAGGAATTGAACCCAGGGCCTCATGCATGCAAGGCAAGCACTCTACCACTGAGCTATCTTCCCAGCCCGTTTCTGAACTTTTTTGTTCAAGGCTGGTGCTCTTCCACTTCAGCCTCAGCTCTACTTCTGGCATTTTGTTGTTTTGCTGGCCAACTGGAGGTAAGATTCTCAAAGATTTTCCTGCCTGGGCTGGCTTCAAACTGAGATCCTCAGATCTCAGCCTCTTGAATAGCTAGGATTACAGGTGTGAGCCACTAACATCAGACTCATTTGACTTTATTACCAAGATTGATGCCTACTCTAGGAGCTGAAGTCAAAAAAGGAACTCTATATACTTTGTGCAATTTATTGGAAATTGTTGTGATTCTTTTGTAGACCAGTTATGACAGATATTTGTCAACTTGAGCCCTAGAAACCTCATCACAGCCTGGGTTTATTAGTAATAATTAGGAGTTCCCTAGAAAGGAAACCTGGCCAGGTGCTGGTGGCTCACACCTGTAATCTCAGCTACTCAGGAAGCTGAAATCTGAGGCTTGAGTTTCAAAGCCAGCCCAGGCAGGAAAGTCTGTGAGGCTCTTATTTCCAATTAACCACCAAAAAAAAAAAAAAAAAAAGCCAGGAGTAGACCTGTGGCTCAAGTGTTAAAGCACTGTGAACAAAATAAGCTCAGGGACTCAGGGACAGTATCCATGCCCTGAGTTAAAGCCCCAGGACACACACACACACACACACACACACACACACACACACCCTGACACACACACACCCTGACACTCACACCCAGACACACCCAGACACACACACACACGCACACACACACATACCCTGAGCCCTGGCCCTGAGTTCAAGCCCCAGGACTGGCAAACGCACACACGCAGAAGCCTGAAGCCATTTTACCAAGATGCTGGGGGACAGGGCCTGTGGAGAGAGGGGGTGGGGGTGTTATTGGAAAATGGAGCCTTCCTCATATACAACTGCTAGAACCCATACTTCTCCCGAGAACTCAACCTGGACTTCCTAAAAATGGCTTGATTTTGTTTTTCAGATTTTAAGTTTTAGATTTTTCCTTCCTTCCTCCCTCCCTCCCTCCCTCCCTCCCTTTCTTTCTTTCTTTCTAGATAAGGTCTCTAAATAGTCCAGACTACAATTCAATCCTCCTGCCTCATCTTCCTGAGTGCTGGGATTTCAGGTGTGAGCTACTATGCCTCGCTTTGGCTTTGAGATTTGAAGTCTATACTTGTAAAGGTGATACCATTAGAAAATAGGCTTGTAGGCTGGAGACATGGCTCAAGCCTAGAGTGCCCACCAGCAAACCCTGAGTTCAAACCCAGTACCACAAAAAAAGAGGAATGTATAAGTATATAAAGCACAGGTTAAACTATTTTCTCCCTAACCCCATTCCTAACATTTACATTCTCCAGATTCTTCTACCGCGCCCCCCCATAGGGTTTGAACTCTGGGCCTGGGCTG